AATGAAAACGAATTAAGGTGAGATAAGAAAATATATATTAAAATGAGAGTGATAAGGCAGAGCAGACCTAAAAAACCCTTTAAAAAAGGATCAAAGAAATTTACTACCAGATAACTACACAAATACACTTAGACAATAAAAATAGATGCCAGATTCAGGGAACTTAATAAAATCGTAGGTATGGGTAGAAATTTAGAAAAGATAATAGGAAGCAAGAAGAAAAATAGTTTACATTTTGCTGTTCATCTAAAGAAAGGCGTAATTTGAGCATGATTGAATTTAAATCGTGGCTCATTACACCGTAACTACTGAATGCAACATCGCAAAAAGCGAACGAAGACACAACCCGAGACAGAGCTTTTGTTCTGCGCTACCCCAAAAAATAACAGCTAATTCAAACAAAGTTTTTGCCGTTTTAGACTATGGTCTTATAAAGATATAAATTTATTAATATATTTAAATAACGCGTGAAAATGCTTATGATTTTGTTACTCATACTATCCGCCTCGTACGTTCAGGGCTGACGCCCAATCGCCTTTCCGCTTTATTCGTTTCCTCCTTCATTTGTCATGAAACCCTCTTCAATGAAGAAGTTTTCGTATGCAGCACATTCGAACCAAGAACCTATTCCTAATTCAAAAAAATCAGTGCCAGGCCCTACATCTCTGGCACAATTTGTTGCAATAGCTTTGTTTAAAATATTCCGTAAGCCCGTTTCAATCGATGCGATGACGAAGGCTGGGATTTATCTATGTTTGGCCACGGGGGGCTCTCTAATATTTGATATTTTAAAGATTCCACCATCATATTTCTCTAACAGTTACAATTTGCTCAATCAAATCTTCGCAAAATGGAGTTGGGGCTGGACTTGTTGCTCCCTTGCCAGCTTTATCGTAGTTTCTTCATATATATTTACTGGTGGTAAGCTGAGCTTGATGCGCTCCCATTTATTACGCTTGGTTTTTGGCTCAGCCTGCTGGTACATATTTAATGGCCTTTTTAACTTTGTTGAAAACAAAACGGGGCAATGTCATCCACTCAACTTAACATTGAAATCAACCCTGCTTAGGCCCGATAACAAGCATTTATGTCATAGACTTGGTGGCCACTGGCTCGGCTTCGACATATCAGGACACTGTTTCATTACTTCCATGTGCAACCTCTGGATAACGGAGGAATTACGTTGCATGCTTTACTGGCATAAACTCGCCGAAATTATAAAGCCATATGACAACGATTTTTCACCGTCTTCAAATCCAGTTAAGTTTAACAATTTTTCCCTGAGAGATGTAAATATTATGCGTTCCGCCTTTCGCCGATTGACTGGGGCTGCAAGATTTGCGTTTATTGTTCTTGCATTTTTATCCGTCTTATGGGACGTTGTTTTCGTCTCAACTATAATCTACTTTCACAATCTACCTTCAAAGCTGTTAGGCACTTCATTTGGAGTTTTAGCCTGGTTTCTTGCCTATCGCATAATCTTCCCCAGCGCAAAGAGTGGCGATTGGCATGGCTTCGCACCCGGCATGCCCGGCAGTTGCGCATTAGATTTTGTCCCAAGTAAATAATTTTAACGCTTTTTTCGCCCTTCGCATTCTTTCCCTCCGTTGTTACGACGACTGAGCCGCTGTCGACACGACTCGTTAAAATCATGATTTAGGCAGTGTTATTGCCCTTTTATTTATATTTATATTCATATAGATTTACAAAAGCCTTTTCAGACCCAATTAAAAGATTTTCTACCTCCATTTTACCTTAAATTAATTTTATTCTAGTGTCCCTCTTAACAAACCTACCATGGAAATTAAACACTCTGTTTACGCAT